CCATTCAACATTAATCCCAACTTCAGCAGACCCACTGAAATCAATGGTACTTGTTCACGCTCTCCTTTTCCCACAAATCTCATTGATCTCAGTGGATTTACACTAGTTAGGACAAACATTGGATTTAGCATCATATTTGTTCAAAGTTTAGGCTCACCCAAGTTTCCAAAGCTTTGTCAGGCCAAGGTGGGCTCTTGTCTGGGCATGTCCTGGCTGGACCTGAACAGACTGCCAGAAATAATCCAATTTGAGGACACTTACTGCCCTGGCTCAGTGCTAAGGAATCATGGGAACTGTAGTTTATTGTGGCACCAAAGATCTCTGACAGAGAAGGCTCAATGTTTCAGAAAAAGCTACAATTCTCATGATCCCCTAGCATTGAGCCAGGATAGTTAAAGTGGTCTCAAACTGCATTATTTCTGGCAGTCTGTTCAGGCCCTCCTCAGACACCCACTAAAAGAGCAAAGAAAATCACTTCACATCCATGTCAACCCATGTGAATCCATTTTATTATATTTTCTTTTAAAGTCCTCTTCTCTATATTATTTAGGCATCACTTTAATTCAGGGTCCTTTAAATTCACACACCTTACGTACAGAAGCACCATGACAGAAATCAACAGGGGTTGGTGGGGATATCAAGTAAACCCCCAAAACTGAAAGATTCATTCTTACGCATAATCCAAAATCAATTGCAAGGAAAAATTATAATAACAGAGAGGTGAGGTGGAAAGGAGAGCAGGAATCAGCATATTTTAAAAGCATTAGCTTTTGAGTCTGACCTAAATCCAATTGGTAGAGTAGGTAAATTGAATCAATCTTGTTTCTGTATGCCTTCAAGTCATTTCCAACTTATGGCTACCCTAAGATGCACCTATCACAGGAGTTTCTTGGCAGGTTTCTTCAGAGGGGGGTTGCCATTGCCATCCTCTGAGGCTGAGAGTCTGTGACTTGCCCAAGGTCACCCAGTGGGTTTACATAGCCGAGCAGGGATTCGAAATCTGGGCTTCGGAGACATAGTTCAGCACTCAAACCACTGAATAAGAAACCAGCACTCACATCAAACCAATTGTTTCAGTGGGTTTATTCTAGTCTATGCCTCATGAACCAGCATAGTGTACTGGTTTGAGCATAACCTTGGGCAAGTCACAATCTCTCAGCCTCAGAGGATGGTGATGGCAAACCCCCTCTGAACAAATCTTGCCAAGAAAACCCCATGATAGGGGTCACCATAACTTGGAAACAACTTGAAGGCAAGCAACAACAACAACAACAGCAACAACAACAACGCCTTATAATATGCGATCAAAATAAACAAGACATTGCCACCATCTTTTCTAAGCCAAGAAATTTCCATTCTGGGAGTATGAATGATCCTAGACCCAGCCATTTGTTTTGGAGCAAAACTAGTCTAGCAATTGGCGCTCCTGAGCAGGAATGGGCACATGTGGATTGAACTGTGGTGCGTACGTGGGATTTCTCCAGCAATCTGGTTCACATTTCCTTTTGGTTGTGTTGGATTTCCTTTAAGTCTGCTCCTAGGGATGATTCAAACCATCCCAGAAGGTGGAGTGGAGCTGATTTCCTGCTGAGAAAAAGACTGCTGTCACTACCTGCAGATGGAGAGGGAAAGGGGTGGCAAGCAGAATGTGTTAAGTTTTGCTTTTTCCTGCCTCTGCAGCCTAAGGAAAAATATGCAAGTGTGTAGGCGACAGTGTAGGCTGTGTCTACACTGCAAAATTAATGCAGTTTAACACCGCTTTAGCTTCCAGGACTCCATGCAGTGGCATCACTAGGTGGGCAAGGGGGTGACACCACTGCTCCTCACTTACTTTTGGGCAGAAATGGGCTGTGGCATTCACCTGCTTCTCTTTAAAATGTTTTAAGAGATGGTGGGAGTGGG